GGCCTGGGCTGGATTTGAACCCGCCAGTTCAGCTGTATGTGGCTGGCGCCTTAGCCACTTGAGCCACAGGCGCCAAGCCAGCAGTCCTTCTCTTAATGCGCCTCACTTGCTTTGGGTTCCCAGGTTGTTTTTGTGTTCAGTTTAGCTTTGCTTTGGAGTAGATAGGGAAAAGACCCATGAAGTCTGATGTTGACAGTTTTAAGGCCAGTGGGGGATCTGGACTCAGTGACTGCTGTAGTTCTTTTGTCTGCAGAGACCTCAGGTCACACTTGGAGGTGGCTTGGCGGCCTAGACAGGAGTGAGGTTGGGAGTGGGATGGTGGGGAAGGGGGAAATGGAAGGATTCTGGAAGTCTAAAAACAAAAAAACAAGGATTAAAGAGAACAGAAAAGGAGCATATTGAGGAAACTTCTGGAGTGCCTTCTGGGGACTCTCAAGGTCCAAAATCAGCCTCTGCCTAGTCTCTTGTTCTCTGCCGCTGAGGCCTGGGCTTGGTGTCATCTTTCTGGGAAGACTCGCTTGGAGAGCGCTTAACGTCATAGGACAAATCACATTAATAAACTATTCCTATTCTTTTACGGTATCAATAAATGGTTCCTGGACACTTACAGTATCAAATGTCTAAAGTAGGTATGCCTTGAGCAAAGAGCCAGAAGCCTCTGTTACACTGCAAGTTGTTGGACATGATGGTGACTTTTGAAATGCTGTGTGCTACATCTCAGAAACTGCTGACTTGGCACCTGCCGCATACCAACAGTAAATATCGCCGAAATCAAGTTATAACCTAAGCCAAGATGCACTGAAAAGGCTGTTGTGTTAGTTCAGATGAAAGGAAGAGAAGGGCACAGCACCCTTCCATGATACCGTAGCCCATCTGCCCTCCAGTCTGCAGCCTGGCATCTGTTACCTACCTTCTCCCGTCAGTTCCTCATGTGGTTCCTCTCCCGTCCTCACCTTCCATCCTTTCTTTTTCTCTGGCTCCTTCAAGCTCACCCAGACAAGCGGGGTCTGCCTTGATTGGTTAATACCTGTCCATTGTAGGGAGTCCTTAAAAGGCAGTTTGGGGTTCACACAATTGCCCAGTCATTTGCAAACAGTGAACATTTTGTTTAGCTGAAGGTTCATGTTTACTATTCTCAGAAGCAGCAGTAGGGGGCAGTGTAGTTGCTAAATGCTGTTGATACTTGAGGCCTGTTTAACTATGTGAAATATTTTAGTATACTTGTATATTTCACTTTTTTAAGTGACAGGATATATAGGAAAATACTCTGAGAACTAAAACTATGTAATTTGAAGAGTTTTATGAAAAAGTTATATATTACAAAAATCATCCAGAGAAATAAAGCCTGTCTTTTTTGCTTCTGGAATCATGTAACAAAACAACAAATAAGTTTGTGGTGGTGAGAAGAACTTTTAAATTCAGTTTACCATTTTTTATGTGCATTTTTGTGCTTGTTTCAAATAACTCTGTAAGGGTTTTATTTCTGAAAATTTCCAAACGTATTTCTCTGTCTCGATCAAAAGGGAGAATTACCAAGATCTTCATCACTCATCTTCATGGAGACCATTTCTTTGGCCTTCCTGGGCTCCTCTGCACAATTAGCCTGCAAAGCAGCTCCGTGGTTGCCAAACAGCCTATTGAAATCTATGGCCCTATTGGGCTTCGGGACTTTATCTGGCGAACCATGGAACTGTCCCACACAGAGCTGGTCTTCCCTTATGTGGTCCATGAGCTGGTGCCTACAGCGGATCAGTGCCCTACTGAAGAACTGAAGGAATTTGCACGTGTGAATGTAGCAGACGGCCCTCCCACAGAGGGACAAGGAAGAACTATCCTGTTAGACTCAGAGGAAAACTCATACCTTCTGGTTGATGATGAACAGTTTGTTGTGAAAGCATTTCGCCTCTTTCACAGAATTCCCTCCTTTGGGTTTTCAGTTATGGAAAAGAAACGCCCAGGTAAACTCAACGCACAGAAACTAAAAGACCTTGGTGAGTGTTTTTTTTTTTTTCTCTTCTCGTCAGTCAGGCTATTGGGGTTTTTTTGTTTGTTTTTAACAGCTCATGACATGTAAAATTAGGCTATTGTTAACTGAAGCTATTAGAACTAGCATAGCATCTCAGAACTAAAACTGACACTTTTCTGTACTTCCTTTGCCCTAAGTTTCCTTATTAAGGAAAATACAGGCTCGGCGCCTGTGGCTCAAGCGGCTAAGGCACCAGCCATATACACCTAAGGTGGCGGGTTCGAATCCCCAGCCTGGGCC